CAAGGACAACTGTGTTTGCGGTACTTTCGTAGTGCATCTTCATTTTCAGTTTAACCACGAACGGTGTGGCCAATGGTGTGGAGGTAGCAGGTGGAAGGAGTTTAAAAGTCAGGAAGAGTGTAAGCTTTGGGAGGAATTCCCCTTGTGGGGTAATTATAATGCTAATCTAGCTAGGAGGTAGCTAATTAGCTCCTCAGCTTACACTATAATTATATATGCAAGAGGCTAACTCCACCCATCGGCCACACACGCTATAGTGTTCATTAAGAGCAAAGTGGTCTTTGTTTTGGTGCGCACTAGGTTAAATGGGAGTTTAATCTCATGAAACGGAGTTAACATAGAAGCACCAGGGGCCGGGGCGCCGGGCAGGTCAGTCGCAGAGGAAGTAGGAGGACTGGAGGGGGCGGAGCCCCAGTAAATCTGTACCGTCATGCGGGCCACGTGTAGTTTCTGAAGCAGCCGGCCGTATCGGCCTGAGTCACTTAGCCCACCCTCCCTTTACCTATAGGCAGTCTAAGGCTCAGAGCAAGGCTCCACTGTGGGGATCGTACCACAGTGTGATAGGTGTGGAGTTAGTTGGATGGAATTCCCCTTGTGGGGTAATTATAATGCTAATCTAGCTAGGAGGTAGCTAATTAGTCCCTCAGCTTACACTATATATATGCAAGAGGCTAACTCCACCCATCGGCCACACGCGCTATAGTGTTCATTAAGAGCGTCTATGGCAAAGTGGTCTTTGTTTTGGTGCGCACTAGGTTAAACACAATTCTGTTTTATCTGCAGGTTGGTAGGTATGGTAGGCTTTGTTAATGACCACACCCTATTCATACAATGTAAGGCAAACATACGGGCATGGTTCTGAATGAGGAAATGAATCATTTCCTGTCGTTTATGGTATCCAGCGAAGGCCAGCAGAGTCATTGGCAGAAGCTTCTTTGGATCTCTCTTTGGACCCGGCACATTGATCACCACGTTCAGACATCTTTCCCTTGGCACACTACCCTTGTTCTGCATAGCTTGGACTGCAGCCTCGAGCTTTGGCATGTCTCCATTTTCAATGGCCTATCATAATGGAGAGGTGAACAGTTATACATGACTTATGGGAACTCGGGTTGTGGTCTCGGGACCCATACAGCACTCGGCTATAGAACTCTAAATGCACATTATCTCTTACTTAGTTGACTAGCTAAAGCTAGAACTTTTTTACAATAGTCTAGTCAAATAAAATAATCACATAACACCAGATTTTTTATACCTTATCTCTTTTGTCACCTGCCTGCCCTTGTTTCCTTATTGTCACTCATCTACATACTTCCTGGTGTTACAGGAATTTCCTTCATTCCTTTCTCTCTCATGCATAAAAATGGACCTGCAACCTGTCACTATGTACATCACCACTGATGAGGACTGCAGAATGCAGTTGAAACGTCTGGTGTTATGTGATTATTGTGATTATTGTGAAAAACTCTAGCTTTTAGCTAGCTACTCAATCGCTATGTGTATCGCACACGCCATGATCCGCGCCACAAGGAGGTGCGCGGCTACTGCTTCCGCGCACGGCTCTGGAACAGCGCTATACTGTCACCCCGCGGTGCTTTCACTGCCGTAGGCCCATCATGAGTGGTAATCCCTGTAGATCCGTCGCTACACAGCAGTACCTACGTATCTACGTGAACTGGCTTCAATCTGCCATGAATCGAAGCCGGCAACCAACGTTCAACAGACTTCACTGTGCATGCACAGCTATGCCACAACACTCAAAGCTCGATGCAGTGCTAGTCTCGCAGAACCAGCCCCTCTTCCTTCCTTAGAGACGGGGTGTCTGCGTATGAAGTTCCCTTCTGTTGCTAGCTACACATAGCTAGCTGAGGGATGTCCTTGTCTAGATTTAGCAGTAGCCGAGGCAGTAGCTATGCAGTGGCACACCGAAAGTCCTAGCCCTAGCAGTACTGTGTGAGTACTCTAATTTCTAGTCTTGCTATATATGTTGCAACCACGTTTTTACTGATTAGCTATAGCTATGGCCATTTACCTCACGAGCGTTCAAAAATGTCTTTTTGAACTCATCGCTTATATCGGGGTGTTTATCCAGGTAAACGGTATCATCCTCCTCATTCAAATCGTCCCTTTCCGCGTCAGATATGATGGGATCCATGGGCAGTAGCTAGGAACTATCTACTGGGACTGCTGTTTATGAACCGCAGCTTTTATAATACGTATAATTATACGTCCGTCGGCGGCGCAGCGTGCAATGCAATCACGATGCCATAAAAGCGGTCGTTTTTTCGACCAACCGAGATCCGCCGTCTACAGCTTCGCATACAGCAGAAGAGAAAAGAAAGATGCCTCCCAAACCGGTAAAGGAGAAGGATAACCAAGACCACTGCGATTCTTGCGACCCTGGGTCTGGTTCCTGCAAGAGCGGAGGATCGTGCTACTGTCGCAGAAACAAGATAAAGTGCAGCAGCGAATCTTGCTCGTGCGAGGCACAGTGCTCCAACAAAAAGTGACTGATGTGCAGGAACCCAGAACAATGATAGTTTTAACTAGTTATAACTGATCATGCAAACTGTTCCGTCTTAGTTTCAGTAGATAGCTATAGTCTTCCCGTTATTATCTTCCATAATAATTATGCGCAAGGCTATATACTTGCGGCGGCTAACGTAATAATAAGTGCTCTCATGGTACTATATGCACAGTATCCTTCCCGGCCCAAACTGTCTGGAGACAGTGTTACAATAATTATATCACAATTTTAAGTCAGGTCACCACAGTGAGTGAGCCTGATGGAGCGGTTGCTAGGAGTTTCTCCATGCTTGGTATTATATGTTTGCACCTGAGCGAGGGTGTAGTGAGTAGTGACAAATATGGAACTTTTGTGCAGTCATCAAGTCCTCCCGGGGAAGACTTTCAAGCCAAGCATGAAGTGGTAGTTTGGGAATTGCTGCATTAAAAATGCTACAACACCAAGAATGGGTATTATTCTGCATCTGAATATGCACAATAGGGGAAAGACTGTTGAGTTGGTGTTAATGTTCTTGGAATGAAGGAACCCAGTGTCTGAATCAACCTGATTTTCAGAATACAAATATTCCGCTAGGCAAGCAGCAGCATGCACACAACAGCAAAGAAGACCTTCAGAAACATCAGGCCGAGGCATAATTAATTTCAGACTGAATTTCTCCAGTTTCCTTCTAGTTTCCTCCATATATACATTCCAAAGCAAAGAGAGTTTCCTTATTACAAAAAGTCCCTTTCCTGGATTATAGACTAGAGTATATACTATATGTGATACTGCAGAGTGATACGGCTGGGAATCCAACTAAGTTATACTATATATCTCTTCCTTCATACCACTACTGCAGGAGTAATTTTAAGGTGAACGTCCCCATAGGTAGCTTTGTACAAATTTATACACAATTTTTGTTGTGGGGAGAAGTGTTACGATGTGGGTGGACACATTGTAGGTTCTCTTCAATTAGATTCCTCAATTCCTGCAAAATACTTAGTTTATATTATGGCTAGGTATTAGAATTTATAGTGTGCATGGTTGTAGGAATTGCTATGAAAGGCTGCTAGCTATGTAGGTACTCCCTCTTGAGCATAAATTCTCACTTCCTTCTATATGGTTTCCTCCAATGCAAAGAGAGTTTCCTTATTACAAAAAGTCCCTTTCCTGGATTATAGAGAGAGTACTATATAGCGCGATACTGCAGAGTGATACGGCTGGGAATCCAACTAAGTTATACTATATATCTCTTCCTTCATACCACTACTGCAGTAGTAATTTTAAGGTGAACGTCCCCATAGGTAGCTTTGTACAAATTTATACACAATTTTTGTTGTGGGGAGAAGTGTTACGATGTGGGTGGACACATTATAGCTCTTCAATAGTTTCCTCAATTCCTGCAAAATACTTAGTTTATGGCTAGGTATTAGAATTGTACATGGTTGTAGGAATTGCTATGAAAGGCTGCTGGGCACTCCCTCGTGTGCATTATGTTCCACTATATACATCCATCTAATGTTGTACAAGCAGCTTTTCCTTTTCCTCCTAGTTTCCTACATTCCTAGATCTTCTACTATTACTTTGTGGTCAATATGCCCTAAAATACATATTAGCTGTTTCAGAGTGTATGCCACTGACTGGGTGTGTTCATTCCTAACAAATGGTGATTGTCTCTAAAAATGCAAGGAATATTGCATGTTATAAGTGACAGAGAATGCTTATTAACATGGTATTATTCATTCCCTTACACAAGTACTGGGGACATTAATGAAGCTCTGTGTTACACAGCGAAGAATTATCTGTTCCAGCACTTATGCCATGATATCATAAAGCAGCAAAAAGTTGTTTTTTTATAATTGAAACATAATACTTGTACAAATACACCATCATACACAATGAGTAAACTAGAGTCACATTATGATCACTACGTAATCCACAATACATTTCAGAGTATACTATTCATAATGAGACGGAAGGTGACTCCCACTAGTACATATATTATGCCACCAGTAGTAATACTATGATGGGCTCCAGAGTCTGTTTGTTGGCCACAGGAACACTCTGTGGGGTCTTGAGTGTCACGCTTCAGCATGCACGATATGGGACACAATTCCTGACTCTCTGGTGGTATACAGTAGTTGTGGGTGGCTTGATAGTTCTCTGGGCATTGGTCGACGCATTCGAGAGTGTCCGCATTCCGAAACTGGCGACATTTGTCGCAGAGACGTGGGCCAGGTCCAGCACAGCCGCCGTAGCACGAAGAGTCACACTCTTGAATCGAGGCCGGAGGAGAACCAGCTTGAATTCCGTAGAGGATGAGAGTTAGATCGCCCACCACCAAGGTGCCATTCTCTCCTTGGTACTCCACTGAGAGAGTCCATGTCCCGGTGGGGTACTCTCCCCAGAAGTGGACAGAGAGGAAGGACCAATTGTGGTAAGTGTCGTTCTGGTCGTCTCTGGCTCTGAGAGGGAGTATTGTGGAGGTAGTCTGTCGGGGGGAAGTCAGGTTCATCATGATTTGTCCTCTTTGGGCATCGGCTGCATTGTCTCCCTCGAACCACAGTGAAACTCGAACCACAACATGTTCCAATAGGCCGACATTATCGTAACATCCATCTATCTCATTAGGACAAAACATATCTATTCTTTCAGTGGAACCGTTTGAAACAAGGCTGGATGAATAGAGAGAGAAGGAAAATTTAGCAAAATGCAAATAGTCTCAGGCTTACTATGTGGAATTTATAGGTCTTAGCGAGAATGATGTCTGGGGAGGAACAGTGGTCCAGTGCCTAGCTCTAGTTACCACAGCCTCAGCATCAACTGCACCAAACCCAAAGTAGTGGCTAAAAGTGAGGCCCGCTCCATTCTTTGTCCCTGGGTGATTCAGCTTGCCATGGTCAGATGTATACACTATCAAATACTGCACATCTCTCCAGGTGAGGTTTTCACTGTAATCGATAATATAGGGCATTTTGAAAACGATTAGCAGTGACTGTACTTACTTTGCTTCCAGGGCTAATGCAATAGTTGCTGAGACAGTTGGAGTGGCGGCACTGGTCTTGTCGAAATTTTGCCTACATTGATTATCGATATCAGTAGTGGCCTGTAGACATGCAGTGCAGAGATATAAAGGGTCGTGATCATAATAATCATGGACAAAGATGAATTAACACACCACATTGAGTTTGTCTCCTCTGTGATGGATGAAAGAGACGGCCATCTTCCCAGAGCAAGGCTCTTCGTATTCTGGTACTATACCTTTGCTGGTGGCAGACCCTATACCAATGGTGTAGATACTGTTCACGTAGCCATTGGCAGCACAGGAATCGTCATAAACGGCCTCCATTTCCAGCAGCAAAGACATATATTGCTCCCTTTCCATCTCTTCCCTAGAGATACACACATGTCCACATTTCAGAGGCAACACTAGCTGTTACGTAATGGCATCTCAATACCTCTGTAGTTGCTTTCTCTAAGGTTTTGGTAGTACAGTTCCCTAACATCTGTGTGTTGTTTCCTAGATCTGGTTGTCCCCAACTATTGCTGTAGATATCAATCACTTTGTGCTTATGGCCCAATGCTCGGGCCTCTTGTATATCAGTTAGACTGTCTCCTAGGTTAATCCCTACAATTTTAAAAATTCATAACTTTCACACAAAAGATCTATGCACAGATTTTTCACCAGTTATTGTGGAATTGTAGGCAATGCCCACTCCACATTTGTTGTTATCTTTGACCATGGCTATGACACCAGCAACGCTGGTCCCATGCTGCGACAGAGCAAATGCATCTTCTTCCCCGGTCATGATATTGATGTCCAATGACTCATCCTGTTTTTAGCAGAGTCTTTGCTAGAAAAACAGTGAAATAATAAGAGAAAGCTTACGTAGTTTGCTGCTAAGTCCGTATGGTTGTGGTACACGCCTAAAATTAAGCAGAGGAACAAAAGTTAGGTTATTTTTGGGCGGAGTCACCCACCAGTATCAACCACTGCCACCGTCACGCCCGCTCCAGTGTAGCCCTGGATCCAGGCAGGCACAACATTGAGATCCCGAGAAGAGTTTGCCCGAACTCTCGAGAATGCGAGACTCTGTATTAAGCTAATGCAGAGAAAGATTTCAACTTCATACTTGGCAACGAGAAGAGCTTACCAAGTACCACTGTTTAAACCAGTCAGGATCAGTTGGATCAGTGTAACTCTTCTCTACAATCCTGTGCAACTTCTGTTGCTCGACAGTAATCACCTTTTTGCAATGGTAATTATAGCTCTGAATGTGCAATTAGCTTCTATACTCACAATGTCTTCTTTCATGAGTTTCTGAGTCAGGCGATCATAGGGCTCGTCCATACTTAGACCTTCTCGTTGGTACACACCTTTAGGTAATACAAACTCATAGGTGTGATCCAAGATTCCAACCTGCAAAAATTGTATATAATAGGAGATAGCAAAGAGGGCACTAATTATTTTGAAACCCTCACTTTTCCTTTGTTCGTGAATTCATAACGCTGTGCGAGAGCGTGCAGGACCTCCTCTGTAGCCCCGTCTACCTCCACCGCCCACGAATTGGTGTACGTTTCCACAGCACTACAGAGGCTGATGATGGCTAAAAACACCACCCGACGCAGTGTATTTTGCATATCCATCGGCAAAAAGCAAAGGCGCAGAAATGAAACTGTCAAGCTCCGTGTCTGATATAATCTCGGCAGACGTGTTGCAAATCGAAGGGCGTGGCTGAACTTAGCTCATTGTGGCACGCGAGCGTTTCCGTTGCCCTTTGCCAATGGGACTTCCGTACTTTGCTGCAGTAAGCTGCTTTCAGAGTGCTTCCGCGTGCTCTTTTCTTGCGCGAGCTACAAATAATGGTGCTGTTAAGTTTGTCACAGTTTGAAGGCTTGACTATTAATCATGTACAAGCCACATGAGTACAATGAGAGACAGTTTTTTTTACACCTCTGTTTATTACGACAGTAAGCTTCCCTTGCCTGGGACCACTGATACTGCGAGCTGTGCGCAACTCTGAAGCAGGAAGTGCAGTAAAGCTAATGAATGATTCTGTCATTGAGGCCAGAATGCAGAGTCAACAGCCTCCAAAGGTTAGTGTGTATAGTCGAGTGTATATGGGTAGAAACATGCATGGCTATCCACATAGTATGCTATAAATATGCTTTTTATGCCCTCAATGTAATTATAGCATGTCGGCACATTCTTTGATGAACTATTATAGCTATTGAATGACCCACAATAAAATAGGTCAGTCTTTACTATTATACATAGCACTACTGCTACTGCAGGGCAGCAAATAGAAGTAGCTCTTTCCCTCTGAGGAAAGAGTATTATAAGTGTAGAAAGCAAAAAGCGGTGCCCCATTGGTGATGTGGTTGTTTAGAAACCCACAGCTGTGGATTCACAGGAAAAGTGATGTGTAGCTAGGTATGCTAGGTATGCATTACCCCAAGCATTAGCTAGCACACACAAATACAGGGCTTTGCCCTTCCTCTACACCATTTAACCCCTCACTTGGATGAAGCCGAAGTGCACACTGTATTATGTACCATGCATATATATATACTATATACCCAAGTGCTTGCTATATGCGCCTGACTACTGTAGGACTGTAGACATGTAAGTGATGCTTAGACTTATAATATTATAGTCTGGGACGATTATTATACAGGTGAAGGATTTGCTTCAACTAATGATACGATTTCTTCTCTCATCTTTTCTTGCGCGAGCTGCAAAAATTGACTGTAGCCAGAACAGACTATTATCTTGCACTTTCAGTTTGAAGTAGCTTATCTGTAGAAGCAGTATACAATGGAAACAAGGGACACTATGGGGCCAAAGATTTTGTCCCTTGTAGATAGGTCGTCCCTATCTCGGAGGCGAAATAATACACTGAAGTATTAGCATGGGGTTAAAACAAGTGTCCTTTGTAGAGAGGTTGTCTCTATCTTGGAGGGTCCCTTATCGGAGGTTCCACTGTATCATCTTTCAAGATGTTACTCTCACCAGCAACTCTCATTTACAGGAATACTGAATGATGACTACCAACAACTGTCATTACTACACTAGAATAAAATTGATGACAGCCAGCAACTGTCATTACTCCTGCAAAGTTTTACAGAAATGATTTGAATGAGTGCAGCAATATAAAAATGGTGAGATGTGACTATAAAGAGTACTATATCTAGAACAAGGTACACATAATCGTAGTAGCCCCATTCAAATTGAATAGCTAACATCAGTTGATTTCCACTCCGGCTGTGGCACTCTGTGCCAGTGAACAGCTTCAATGATGCGTGGCCATCAATACAACCCGATTGGCACCACTAACACATTTTTATTATGTGCATGGAATGTATATAGAAATACCATAATAATTGTTTTTCAGCTTCTTTGATGCTGTACAAAATGTTGATAATTATTATCGTCCCTTTCCATTCAATTTTCTGAAGTTGAGTTATAAATTTGGCCATTGCCCATTGCCACACAAGTATGACAGCTGTGACTAGCTACACCATTTGCATTTCCTCTTTTCCTCTTATTACTTGAATCAGTGGACACATCAAAAGAACAACATTGCAGCAATTCTCTACTGCACATTTTGACTTCTGCTTATTTATTCCCAGGGTTTCTGACATAGCATCAAAGCTATATATATTATACTGAATATGGAATTTGCATAATTATGATGTGTGGCACATGGTGTGGGATCTCTCCCCTGTGCAAGTAATATCATATTTGTGGGGTTGTCGCCATAGCTTTCCTACCACACACTGCACTAAATTTGCTTCTCTGCATGCTGATATAATATTCTTGGAATGTAGGAAACTACAAGGAAAAGCTTTAACTTACTCTCTCTCTATAATTGGCGGGCGGGAGCGAGCTAACCTAGTGGTACGAACGGCGCGATTTTTCTATATATCTACGACCGTCGTACGTCGTACGTCGTGTAAGTGCGCATGCGCGTCTTTGTACGCGCTTCTTTTTAAGCGATCAACCGGGCAAATCCCAAGTTGGGTCGCTCCCGCTCGCCAACAATGTTGAACATTATTCTAGTATAATAATGGAGAATAAATTTGAAATATCAGCTTTTCCTTGTATCTAGTTCCATGGATATCATTTGCACACATGTACAATTATTATGATGTTTGTAGTATGAATGGTGTTCTTCATCATAACAGTATAGAAGCTACAGCATACTTCATGCCTTGTACAACTTGAATTTGCTTTTCGGACCCCTCACTACAGAACAGTATGAAAAGCACTGAAGTGCAAACCCTCGGCGCACTGTACTGTGACGCGCACTTTTTATCCGAAATTATTTCAACTCTCCTCCATTCGACCATCGGTGACTGACCGAAGCTGTACCTCTTCCCAATCTCAAGGTGCAACTTGCATAATACGCTAGGGCACATACTGCTGCATGCCAGTTGCCAGGTGGACCACGACTGACGAGCGAAAGCGTAAGGTAAGTACCGTTCTGCTCACCTGCTCACCGTTCTGACAATATACAGTACGCATGTAACGGCGACAGGTAGATCTGTCTTGCTTCACGAAAGGAAAGCTGTGCGCGTTATGCAGCCCCAACATCGCGGTGAAATCCCAAGTTGGGTCGCTCCCGCTCGCCAACAATGTTCAACATTTCCACTAGTAGTTAATGAACGGAAGTCAGTGCTGTGCGCGTAATAATGGTACGAGGGGCGTGGTCGAGATAGTCATAATTATACAGCATGGTATGATCTATCGAGACCACGTTCCGAGTATCATTATCACGCGCACAGCACGTGCTTCCGTACATTAAGTAATTTATTGTATGCGTGGGCGATTCAAAAGGCGGCGACCAGGAAAACCGGCGTTCAGAACGGAAGAGAGGACGAGAAGCTCCTTCCAGCAGCGGTTTGTGTCACCGTCTGAGTCGAACTGCGTCTACGAAAGGCCGCCGAGGGCGTCATTCCCGCAAAGCGTACGCTAGTCCGCGGATATAGTTCAAAAGGCGGCGGCCAGGAAAATCTTTTTTTTGCAAGTTCAGAAGGACTAGAACCTCGTGGAGCGCCCTTCCAGCAGCTGTTTGTGTCACCGTCTTAGTCGACCTCCGTCTACGAAAGGCCGCCGAGGCGTCATTCCCGCAAAGCGTACGCTAGTCCGCGGATATAGCACAGTTCGTGTGATATAGTACAGTTCCGCGCGATATAGTACAGTTTTCATTCAAAAACCGTTCTGTATGATGAATATAGTACTGGCGGCGCCTTTTGATTCGCCCATGCAAAAGACAGTTTTTCAGCTTCTTTGATGCTGTACAAAATGTTGATAATTATTATCGTCCCTTTCCATTCAATTTTCTGAAGTTGAGTTATAAATTTGGCCATTGCCATTGCCACACAGGTAGCTATGACAGCTGTGACTAGCTACACCATTTGCATTTCCTCTTTTCCTGAATATTACTTGAATCAGTGGACACATCAAAAGAACAACATTGCAGCAATTCTCTACTGCACATTTTGACTTCTGCATATTTTATTCCCAGGTTTCTGACATAGCATCAAAGCTATAATTATAATTATACTGAATATGGAATTTGCATAATTATGATGTGAGGCACATGGTGTGGGATCTCTCCCCTGTGCAAGTAATATCATATTTGTGGGGTTGTCGCCATAGCTTTCCTACCACACACTGCACTAAATTTGCTTCTCTGCATGCTGATATAATATTCTTGGAATGTAGGAAACTACAAGGAAAAGCTTTAACTTGCTCTCTCTCTATAATAATATAATAATGGAGAAGAAATTTGAAATATCAGCTTTTCCTTGTATATAGTTCCATGGATATCATTTGCACACATGTACAATTATTATGATGTTTGTAGTATGAATGGTGTTCTTCATCATAACAGTATAGAAGCTACAGCATACTTCATGCCTTGTACAACTTGAATTTGCTTTTCAGACCCCTCACTACAGAACAGTAATATTGATAAAGTCACCTGTAATCCCGATGTAAGACCAAAAAAAGCATGATTCATCTTGTCTCACAGTGAGAATTGTAAGTAAGCTTTTGCTATACCCTGCAACCAATCATCAGGAAACTAAAAATATGTATGGGCATAACCTGTGTCATGCCTCCATACTATATAAGCACTACTATACTCAGTGATGCATGAGTACGGAGTTGCATTCTATATACACAGTATACTGATTGGTGGCATCATGTGTCGTGCGAGAACCTACTAGATTTAATTCTCTTACACAAATATTCGCTATGTTCACATTCCATAGTAGCTAACTCTCACCATAACCATTCTTCAACAATCCTCCTGGTTGCGTGCGTACCGGCGCTGGCACTGCATGCACATAAACTGTGATGTTTATCATTGGGATAATTGAAGTATAACGTGTTATACATGAAATTGAAATCTCATGCCTACATGCTAGCTAGTAATGCTCTGATGGGTGGACAAGGATTGAATTAAACAACTTTTTTGCCATCAAGATTGCCTTCTTACGGACCAACTAAAATTAAGGCCTTTCCCAAAATGTGTATAAATGCAGCTTGAATATCTTTGCAGTGATCTAATCTTCCTATGGCTATAGAGACAGTAGGCAATTTCACTTCATAATTTGCAAATGACAATGTGCGACTTGTTAAAGTCCACAAGAACAATTCTTTAGGCCGCCCCGCCCGTTAGACTCTGTGCGCATGCGGGCGTCTGCACCCTAAGCGCCGACCTGCGCACAATCTAGGAGGCGGATTTGATGTATGTCTTCTCCCACTCTCCTCTCCTGTTGGCGACGGGCTTCGGCTTTACCACTGTTATCACGTTTGCTATCCTCTACAGGTGGGTAGCTCAGTAGCGCAGAGCGTTCCGCCATTAGATATGCAGATAGCTATAGCTAGGTAAGTAACGTGGTGTCGTCTACTGGGACCGATCTCGCCTGGCTATGGTGCCCTCTGGGGCATGGCGAGACTAAAGTATTTACACCTGCAGGTTTCTGGCGTCTCCATATCGCTTGCTGAGCAATCATGGAATCAGGGGCCCAACACCTCTTCCCCTACTAGGGAATTTCTTGAGCATAAACAAGGTGATATATTTACAGTAGCTAACTGGCTAGCTAATATCTTCGATTATTCCATTGTAGGTTGGGCATGATCGTTTTCTGGAGGAGCAGATTGAAACATTCGGGAAAGTTTTTGGGTATGTTGGTTACCCTAATTTTGACTGTGCGACTATACACAGAACTCATAATAATCTACACGGAAAAGAAGCACTTTACAAACCTTTCTGTAGATACTATGTCGGCACCACCCCAAAGGTTGCCATAACTGATGTTGAGATAGCAAAGGAGATAATGGTGAAAGAATTCGAGAACTTCAGTGACAGGGGATTCATAGTGAGTTTATAAATTATAAAACCACTGATTAGTTTAATTGCATTTTGGGCCCAGGGTCCACCTAGCCTCATTCCAAAGGCACTGGGAGTCCAGCCTGGAATGATAGTGTCTAGTGTGGAGATATGGAGGCCAGGGCGACGTGCTCTCACTCCATCATTCTCAGCCATGAAGATGAAGCTGGTGAGTACAGTGTAAACAGCCACCCTTGTTTGCTATGATTGATCAAAATCGTACAGATGGTGCCACTGATAAAAAAGAGCACTGGTGTTCTTCTGGATATACTGGGAGGGTTTGCTGAGTCAGACAAGAGTGTAGAGGTTTTCGGGTAATTTCACACTTACCCATCTCTTATATAGTTTAGTTTATTTCTACCATACACCATAATCATAGTCAATCATGCTACAGAGTGTATGGAGGGTTCACAATGGAGACTCTGATGGCCACAGCATTTGGCCAGGATGTGGCTGTTCAGAGAGGAGAGGGGGACCAGGTCTCCAAGGCTGCTGACACTGTCTTCAGGGCAGCTGAGGAAGGATCTGCCCTTTCGGTTGATGTGCTAGGATTGATTCTCTGTGAGTGTTCATATTGTGGAGTTTGTGTACTGAAATACTTTCACTTACTCAAAGGGCTTTACAATACTCAACATAAAGGTGCTGGTAAGTTTGTCTAAGTTTGGAGGCTTGACTATTAATCATGTACAAGCCACATGAGTACAATGAGAGACAGTTTTTACACCTCTGTTTATTACCACAGCAAGCTTCCCTTGCCTGGAACCACTGATACTGCGAGCTGTGCGCAACTCTGAAGCAGGAAGTGCAGTAAAGCTAATGAATGATTCTGCCATTCATCTCATTGAGGCCAGAATGCAGAGTCAACATCCTCCAAAGGTTAGTGTGTATAGTCGAGTGCATGGGGGTAGAAACATGCATGGCTATCTATATAGTATGCTATAAATTATGCTTTTAATGCCCTCAATGCATGTCGGCACATTCTTTGATGAACTATTATAGCTACTGACAATAAGAGGTCAGTCCTACTGCTGCTGCAGGGCAGCAAATAGAAGTGTTTCCCTCTGTGGAAAGAGTATAAGTGTAGAAAGCAAAAAGTGGTGTCCCATTGGTGGTTGTTTAGCCGTGGATTCACTGGAAAAGTGATGTGTAGCTATATACTGCATTACCCCAAGCAATAGAAGTGAAGCTAGCACACACACACATATATAGTTGTCCTTCCTCTACACCATTTACCCCCCCCCTTGGATCAAGCCTAAATGTACACTGTATTATGTACCATGCCTACTAGCCCTACTACCCCAAGTGCTTGCTATAATGAAAAGCACTGAAGTGCGAACCCTCGGCGCATTGTGACATGACACGCACCCGTAAGCAAACACATGCGCCATACCACTAATTGATGGGCTGGGTTTAGTTTTAGCTGTTACTCGTGGTCCCTTGCCAGCTCGCGCAGAGTCTGATGCGGACTAATTACACTGTAGGTAGCATGCGAGAGGCGATACACACCCTGTGTTGTATCTTCTGGTGCCTCCGAGGTGGCACGCGGATCGATCAGACTGTGGCCGTTGTGTATTTGCATATTGGCTTTTTCGCGCTCTAGCTTTGCAACGGAGCATTTTCTGAGAAAACTGCACAAACTTTCTGACCTTCATTGGCTGTTAAGTAAGTCGTATCGTTTGTGAGACGGACGAACATTGGAGAAGTGAGATGTTGAGTAACAGACACACAGAAGGACAGACAGACAGACAGACCCAACTACTGTACCCTCGCTGCGCATGCGCGCCGAGGGTAATTATGCACCTGACTACTGTAGACATGTAAGCTACTATATAGCTGGTAACAATGATGCTTACACTATTAGTCATTTGACTGGGACCATTATTATACAGGTGAAGGATTTGCTTCAACTTATGATAGATGCAACTGTTGATGAAGATAATGGTGACAATTCTTCCAGGAAAAAATTAACCAGCACTGAAATTGCAGGGTTTTCAGTTGACTTCTTCCTGGCTGGCTACGAGACCACGGCCACCACCCTGGGGTTTACCTCCTACCTCCTGGCAATGAACACTCATGTTCAGGAGAAGCTGCAAGTTGAGATTGATGAATACTTTGAGGAAAATCCAGTGAGTGCATTAATTATGATGCGCTACTAAAGGCATGCACACCTCACTTTGTGACTAGAACAATGCAACACATTTTTGGTTGGTAATTGCTTGTGTGTTTTTAGAATCACGTGTATTATATTCATTATGTGCGGCAGTGCGGGTCAAGTAATCATTCCGATGAACTACGTATATAGGCTCGCTTCACTCGCCAATTGTGCTAGCACAACAGAGTAATAGTTTTTGTGTGGAAAGCTAAGGTGACCACTTATTAATAACTTGCTAGGTCATTGTTATAAATAAATGGAAGGTGAGAATATCCTTGTTCAATTATTCCTTATTTGGAAGAATGTAGCTGCTTCTTTTTTGCATGCGTGCCGGAGTCTCCTAGCAACGACCAATCAAAACTCTTTCTACACCTTTTGGAGAGGTGTTGCTGGTTTTTCTGCCCGTGTCCCTGAGGGCACGTAGTACACCAATGGGATAATGTCTCCTTCATTTTGTCTACCATCTATTAAAATTAGGACGAGGGGTTATAGCAACCACAAACTTCCTCAGTCTCACCATGGAATAAACATTACAGGACGGTTCTTTGTATGAAGCAGCTCAAAAGCTAAAGTACCTGGAGATGGTCCTCTTTGAGTCCATGAGGCTCTACACACCGATCCCAAAGTTAGTTCATTGTATTAACGATGAAGTTATGTGACTATTAACTCATTATAATAATATAGAACTCAGCGTCACTGCTACAAGACCGTGACAGTTGGTGGAGTGACTATTCCTAAGGGAGCTGATGCATTGATTCCTATTGATGTCATCCACCATATGCCACAGTACTGGCCAGACCCTTACAAGTTTGATCCTGAGAGGCAAGCGAGATTAATTAACCCTTGGCATGCATGTGCAGACATGGTTAAATTACTCAGTATGTGCATCAGTCTGTCGGTCTGAGGGCTATTCTGGCACTTGCCTATATATGAATGATACCAAATGCTAGAATGATGAAGGTGGAAAATATAAAATAATCCCAAACGACTGTGTCACGTTCGAGAGATATTATGGCATGAAAACAGCTAAAATTGCAATATGATTGTGCTGAGGTAAAGGTGACAAAATTGGAACGAGTGGTAAGTTGGAATGCGTTAATTTCAGCGGCTGGTCTTTTTATCATAGTAGGCAAGGGTAAAGTAAACCTATATATGGTTTACTGCAGCTTGTTAACCCTCGGAGCGCATGCGCAGTGAGGGTTACGGTAATTGGTTCGTCTGTTTGTCCGTCCATCTGTCTGTTACCAGGGTTTCTGCCACCACGCACAACGAGACGATAAAATAGCGATACCAAAATGTTCAGCGCTACACTGGCTTGATTTAATTTTGGCGAATTTCGTATAAAATACTGCATTTGAGAGATTATGCCGTGAAAACAATATAGTGATAAAGCCAATTGCAAATTAGCACAGGTTTAGCTCGACAGCTCTGTGTACCTAGAGGCACCAGAAGTTGCAACGTGGGGACTCACACATGCTATCTAGTAGTGTAGCCTCAGCAAGCTTTATAGCATGATCTCGCCGTGAGTAGAAAAAAAGCCAAGCCAGTCATACTTACTTGACCGCGTCGTGCACCGAGGGTTTGCACTTAGTGCTTTTCATTTTATGGACAGAATTGGCACCGTGAAGTATTCGCCATTCTGAATTACCTTCCCTAACTTTAATAAAGAGTTTTCCTCATTCCACGGAACCCTGGGAGCCACTACGTACGTTATTATTATACTTGGAGGACTATTTCATTTCAGCGGCCCCCCAAACGCTAGTCACTGATGCTGAAAGTGGACTGCATTTCATTGTCCATCAATAATAGCGGTGCTTTCAAGCGCATACGCTGCGCCAAGGGTTTATGTATTTCATTATAATTGTCAGTATATAGAAGAAACTCTGGCTTGGATTCTCAGGTTCACAGCTGAGGCAAAGGCCAATCGACCGCAGTTGGCTTACATGCCATTTGGTTGGGGTCCTCGCAACTGTATTGGACTCAGGTTTGCTCTTCTGGAGGCTAAGATTGCTCTCATGGAGATTCTCAGGAAGTACAGCTTTGCCCGCGCACCAGAAACTGTGGTATGTTTATTATACCCTTTGTTAGAGTGCCCATTATCAATTGCCTAAAACCCCATCCAGGAAAACCTGAAGCCATCAACTGGCCTTACATTAACTCCTAAGGGAGGAGTGCTGCTAAAGATCTTACCAAGAACTTAAACTCTTTAAATAAACTGCTGATACACTGATAGCCATATTTTATATTCCAAAAGAGTGCACATTTTTGCCTTGCAATTGGTTATTAACCCTTGGCCAGCCATGGGCATAATATATATATTTATTTTGACTTGCGTGGGCGGATCAAAGGAGCCGCGCATACTCTTATTTCCCGTATTGTAGCACGCGTTCAATATGACTAATAATATCAATAGCATCGTGCCAATCAGCATCGTGCCCATAGTGTAGACAAAAACGGTTCTGTAGAGGCTTTAGAGGCGAGGGATAACTGTTCTGTAGAGGCTATAGAGGAGAGGGATGGCTGAGGCGACCACACCCCTTCATTCAGCTCCAAGTGGCAAGCGAGACCGCGGCCGCGGCACACCGACCGGTCAAACGGCCCAGCGACCTATGAAACGAGTTTCTCTGAGAGAGAAAGAGCCTCCATCACGACCTTGTTCGATTACGGTAGCCTCGAGAACAGAGAACTCGCTCGAGAAGCCAGCGAGTGAGCACGTGCGCACAGGTAGTAGGCTACGCAGTCGTATTTCTCTCGCTGGAGGTCGACGACTGCTACAAAGTCACAATAAAACACATAATGTGCGTCCTATCGTTCTATATGGGAACTCGGGTTGTGTCGACTGCACCCCTCGTTCCCATAAATCACGTCTAAACGCACATTATCTCTTACATACTAGGCGTTGATATCAATTTCTGCTTACTTAAGGAGATACCCATGGCGTCCAAAGGGTGTGTTCTGCATATTCTGAGGACTGGCAATAACGTAGGTTTTAATGTCAAAGTTACCAAAATGGGCAGTGCAACAGAAGAATACTGTATTGTGCTCCAGTACTGTCACACTGTTGTGTTTACTGACACAACATGAATTTACAAAATCTATCAACCACCAGAGCCGCATTATTCTGTTTATGCACGTGAGTTGTGGCGTAAAACAGAAATGAAAACTTGCTGTCCCAGGAAAAGGTATATTATCACATTTTGTACATAATATTTCAACCCAATAACACAAGTGTGCTATTATTGCGCTAACTGAAATTCTGGGGAATGGAGAGAGCTCAGTTCTGTTGAATCTGTGTCTTCATGGTTCCATTGATGTAGTGGAGGAGGTTGGCATTGAACCAGTTCACAGTGAAATTGAGATAGCCATACGGAGCAGATATGAAATGGAGTCGGCCAGTTGAGTTGAGCCCTCGGAGACCTAACAGATCCTGAGCAGTGGGAGAGAGGGAGGGAGGAGAGGAAGGAGAGAGGGAAGGTGGGCAGGGTGTGATGGAGGGGAGTGTGAAGATAGAAGGGGGAAGAAGACTGTGATAACACAACCTGATGGTGTTTACGTGGCACCACCACACAGATTTACCTTTTTCCATATGTCGCTCTCTTCAAGAGTGTAAATGTCTTTCTCTGACCCGGCTTGTAGAATCCAAACCACTACGAAAAATGAGGGTGTATTATAGGGGAGAAGGAAGTTAGAGAGCTTTCAACACTTTTTGCTCTTTTCTGCTCTCCCTCCTTCTCTATATATACCTCACTCTCTGTAGGATTTACAACCCTGTCCAACTCCAACTTTACCAATACAAAATTGGTAAGAGTCACAATTCTCTCCTTGTAAACAGGATTTGTAACCTGTGAAAATGTGAGAAAAACAATACAGGGCGAAGAGGGAATGTTCACAGAATGCACACTGTAGGATAAAACTGCGGCCCAGTCAGTTTGTTTTACAGAGAACATAAATTTTGGTGACTGTGTAGGTTGAAGAAAAAAACGGTCACAGTAAAGCTCATACCCATGTGTTGTTTATCACAGCAACGTAATAAAGTTACACTGGCTAGTCTAATAAACTTGCGCTAGCTATGTAGATAGTTGTCATACATTCATTTGGTTGAGGTCAGGTAAGAAGATGCAGTCTTTCTCGTATTTCTCCTCATACTTAGGATCTTGCCAGTACTGAGCTACCGTTATTCTGTGGACACAGTGGGGGTGTGGGGGGAAGGGGAGGGGACTATACCGTCAGGGCTAAGACAGTTGTACACAGTAGCAATAGGGTTTGATTTTTCTTACAATCTGTTTATTGGGGGAAGGGGAGGTGTGAATTCACTCTATCCCTTAAGGGACAGCAATAGATGAGATACATAGAGATAGACACAGCGAGATAGTGTTACTATAACCCTACACTTCAACAATTGAGCTTATTTGTCTTTTCTTCTTTCGTGTGCCTGCAGGTTTTTGACACATTTTTTGGGGAAGGCGTTAGGGTAGTGGTGGGGGTAAGGCAAGGGATAGGAATGAGGCAATTGCATAGATAGTACGTACTACACACCAACTATCAAATGTAAAATTTGGAAAGGGGAAGGGGAGGGGTGTGCAAGAGTGAGGAGGTAAGGATAGTGACTCACAGTTTCTGGACCCCGGGAGTGTACACTCCATGTTTCATCACGGTGTGGTGAACCACCCGACACAGACTGGCATTGTTACCAGGGCAGTAGGGGAGACCGTACGAGCCCTGCTGGGGTCCACCCACTGAAATGAGGTTGCGGACCCTGACCTTCCCACATCTCTGCACCAGCGCTCTCCTACATACATCAATAATATACAAGAGAGTAAAGGAAGACAACTAGCAACCCGTTTAGTAGGAAACCACTTTAGAGTAGCAAAAACACTATGAAAAAGGTGAGCTATAAAAAAGAAAGAGAGAGACGAAAAACTGAAACAGAGCGAGTGTAACCGTAGACAAACGCGATTTGGCAAGCTCAGGGGGTTATAATATACCAAGTGCATAAATTGTAATGCAGTGTGGATCACTGCAGATGCACTGGCAGTGTGACACACTCCAAACTAAACCTCCTATTTAGAACTAACAACTCACAACCAGTAGCTAACTAGTAACTCACAGGAAAAGTCCACCCTGGCCAAAGCCCATTGCATTGAATCCGTTGGCCAGCCTTGTGTCGTTTGCCAGAGCATCGCAGACTTGAGAGACCTGACAAATGAAACACTCAGATAATAAAGCGGAAACACAAATTTCACAGTTCAGTGCCATTTTGGTTACTCTGTGACGGATGTGTCCAGCAGAACAATAAATTCTTTTGCAGCACGATGCGTGGGCGTATCAAAGGTGCCGGCAGTACAATATATGCCATACTACGAACAATTGGGAAGTTACTGAACGGTAGAATTTATTGAACGGTCGCGTGCGGGCTGGCCAACTGTCCCAGGACCTACTCCACGGGTGGTAGTCGAGTCTTTGCTGGCTCATCAATGCGCGGGAGATCGACTGTTCGCTGAAAATCTTGCTACAAACCAGTTGAAGCACCGTTCACGCTTGTATACTATGGTTATTATTGAACTCAGTTGCAAACCGCGTTCAATAATACCTGTAGTACAGTCGCACGGTGATATAACTAATACATAATATGCTACAGGAATGTTTTTCCATCAATAACAGCATTACACCAATTATTATTACTCCAAAATTGATAAGAGTTTAGTCCTGCCAAAACCCACAGTCTATCTTCAGTAATTGCTTCAAATTACGTACATACGTACATACATGTGCAATTAGTGTATAAGCACTATGCTACACGTGGGAAACAATGTAAAAGTACTGAGACGGAGAAGGCATTACACTGTGTGTAAGCCTAAGCGTTAACACCTGCACTGTAGAGCTATATTATGTAGGTGGTGTAGCGGGACATATTTGAGGGGGAAACTTTCATTGTTCCAAACTGTGAGAGTATAATTTTGTGGATATGGACACTTGTATTGGTGACACTAGCAATCTGCTAGCAATTTGCTCAACGATACTAAAGACAACCTGATCGCTGAGCAGCCCATAGAAACTAAAGAACACGTCCTCGGTAGGGTTCTTCCCAAAACTGATGGAGTGAATGTAGATCCCGGGAACCTCCTTCTCAATCAAGGCTATCAGCTGACCGAGATGATGTGGGTCACAGCAGCTACCTCCTGAGAGAAACAGAGAACAGTCGTGCCACTACTTGCATTACTCACATTATCTGAATGTAAATATGCTAAAAATGGTACAATAATCTCCGTGACGCCACGATGTGAAATAATGGCACGTGTGTGCATAGCTAAATACTGCCAAACTTCTGTGAAATGGAAATGGTTACGTGTACCATTGTACTTGTTTAATAGGAGATTGGTCGAACACCCAAGACAAGCAACGTAAGACAACACAAACATTACAAGGTTTGAAGTCCAACTCTAGACAAGCAATGTAACACGGATCACTGGTAAGTGATAATCCCCCCAGATGGGCAGAAAGACGTGGTTTTGTGCGTTTGATAACCACTCTGCTGCGACTCTCTGTTTTGAGTCTTTGTACAATTCTAGCTACATGGACATCTATGCTTCCTCCCTCACCGACCTATCCCATGCCAGAGGACAAGGGGAACGACATCCTGAGCAACACCGGAGCTGACGACGATGGCTGCACTCAACACAAACACCACAACCTTCGCAACCATAACTATAGCTAGCAGATAGCATAAAACAAAGATCGGCTATACCGTCCAGAACACGGGAAGGCCTAAGCCCCTCCTTTTTACGCATGCGCGAAATATGTACGTGCGATGATTGACCCTCGGCGCGCATGCGCAGCGAGGGTTACAGTACTTGTTTTGTCCGTCTGTCCGTCTGTCTGTCCGTCCACGTTTTCTGCCACCACGCGCGACAAACAGGTAAAATAGCGACACCAACGGGTTCAGCGCTACACCCGCTTCATTTTTAAGGTTCAAGTTGTAAATAGGCTAGGATGGCTAATGCAGATACAGTCATTGTGTGCTCGCTCCCGCTCGCCAAAAATGCCATGCATTCACCTACTAGTAATTGGCGAGCGGGAGCGAGCTAACCTAGTGGTACGAACGGCGCGGATTTTCTATATTTACGTCGTCCAACTGCGCATGCTCCAGGATTACGCGCTTCTTTTTATCCGGAAGGATTTCAAAATTTCACATGCTGCCTGCCGATCCGATGATGTCGTGCGTATACATGTCCGATGAAGATGCCCTTCGTCGTCGAACTGAGTGGGAAAGAGAACATCGTGCCCGTGAGACTCCTGACTCGTTAGCGTCGCTTTCGTGATAGAGAAAGTTTTACACGCTGCCTAGCTGTCATAACGATGCCAAATATAGCCAGCCAAAGAACTCTCGTCTATTTGCTGCCATTCGCTGCGCTCTTCGATACCTGACCGAGGCTGTCTATACCTCCTTCCAATCTTCGTGATTCTAAGGTTCAAGTTGTAGGATGGCTCGTGCAGATAGAGTCATTGTGTGCTCGCTCCCGCTCGCCAAAAATGCATGCATTCGCCTACTAGTATGTATGAATGTCTTGATGTATGTATATGTAATTGGCGAGCGGGAGCAAGCCAACCTAGTCGTTCATTCGGGCATTAATTTTAGTTGGTCCGTAAGACGGCAATCTTGATGGCAAAAAAGTTGTTTAATTCAATCCTTGTCCATCCATCAGAGCATTACTAGCTAGCATGTAGGCATGAGATTTCAATTTCATGTATAACACGTTATACTTCAATTATCCCAATGATAAACATCACAGTTTATGTGCATGCAGTGCCAGCGCCGGTACGCACGCAACCAGGAGGATTGTTGAAGAATGGTTATGGTGAGAGTTAGCTACTATGGAATGTGAACATAGCGAATTTGTAAGAGAATTAAATCTAGTAGGTTCTCGTACGACACATGATGCCACCAATCAATATTCTGCGTATATAGAATGCAACTCCGTACTCATGCATCACTGAGTATAGTAGTATGTATATAGTATGGAGGCATGACACAGGTTATGCCCATACATCAAGCGTCATCTCTTACAATTCTTTTGGAATCACTTCAAAACCAACTTTCAGAGTACAAATCCATGCACTTTTCACTTTCTTTGCCCATGTGCTAAGTGTTCCAGTACATCAATAACAACCTGTTTCTCTTCAGTTAGTACATCTTAGGACACCAGTACTCCCAAACTGGTGTTCCTTCAGTACACTTCTTTATAATTACCATTCATTTCTTATTTATAGCATCCTATTTTATAGATCGCATTGTGTACTGTAAAGCTTGAAAATAAATTTAAAAAAATAAAATATTTTTAGTTTCCTGATGATTGGTTGCAGGGTATAGCAAAAGCTTACTTACAATTCTCACTGTGAGACAAGATGAATCATGCTTTTTTTTGTCTAACATCGGACAGGTAACTTTATCAATATTTACCCTCGGCGCGCATGCGCAGCGAGGGTACTGTAGTCATGGTCTGTCTGTCTGTCTGTCTGTTTGTTTGTTTGTCTACATCTCATCTCTCGAATGTCTGTTCGTCCCAGAAACGATACCATCTACCTAACGGGCGACGAAGGTCAGGAAATAAAGGCGGTTTTCTCTGAAAATGCTCCGTTGCAAAGCTAGAGCGCGAAAAAGCTAATATGCAAATACGCAACGGACGGGATGGCTTACCGCGGTCGTGCTCTGCGTACTTCGGAGGCACCAGAAGATGCAACGCAGGGCGTGTATCGCCTCTCGCATGCTATGTAGTAGTGTAGTTAGTCCGCGTCAGACTCTGCGCGAGCTGGCAATAGACAACGAGTAACAGCTAACACTAAACCCAGCCCATCAATTAGTGGTACTGCGCATGCGTTTACTGACGCGTGCGCGTCACAGTACAGTGCGCCGAGGGTTTGCACTTCAGTGCTTTTCATACTGTTCTGTAGTGAGGGGTCCGAAAAGCAAATTCAAGTTGTACAAGGCATGAAGTATGCTGTAGCTTCTATACTGTTATGATGAAGAACACCATTCATACTACAAACATAATAATTGTACATGTGTGCAAATGATATCCATGGAACTAGATACAAGAAAAAGCTGATATTTCAAATTTCTTCTCCAATATTATATTATAGAGAGAGAGCAAGTTAAAGCTTTTCTTGTAGTTCCTACATTCAAGAATATTATATCAGCATGCAGAGAAGCAAATTTAGTGCAGTGTGTGTAGGAAAGCTATGGCGACAACCCCCACAAATATGATATTACTTGCACAGGGGAGAGATCCCACACCATGTGCCACACATCATAATTATGCAAATTCCATATTCAGTATATATAGCTTTGATGCTATGTCAGAAACCCTGGGAATAAATAAGCAGAAGTCAAAATGTGCAGTAGAGAATTGCTGCAATGTTGTTCTTTTGATGTGTCCACTGATTCAAGCAATATTATATACTAAGGAAAAGAGGAAATGCAAATGGTGTAGCTAGTCACAGCTGTCATACCTGGTGTGGCATGGGCAAAGGCCAATATTATAACTCAACTTCAGAAAATTGAATGGAAAGGGACGATAATAATTATCAACATTTGTACAGCATCAAAGAAGCTGAAAAACTAGTATTATGGTATTCTAATATACCTCCATGTACATAATAAAAATGTGTTAGTGGTGCCAATCGGGTTGTATTGATGGCCACGCATCATGAAGCTGTTCACTGGCACAGAGTGCCACAAGCCGAGAGTGGAAATCAACTGATGTTAGCTATTCAATTGAATGGGGCTACTACGATTATGTGTACCTTGTTCTAGATATAGTACTCTTTATAGTCACATCTCACCATTTTTATATTGCTGCACTCATTTCTGTAAAACTTGCAGGAGTAATGACAGTTGCTGGCTGTCATCATTTTATTCTATGTAGTAATGACAGTTGTGGTAGTCATCATTCAGTATTCCTGTAAATGAGAGTTGCTGGTGAGAGTAACATCTTGAAAGATGATACAGTGGAACCTCCGATAGGGACCCTCCAAGATAGAGACAACCTCTCTACAAAGGACACTTGTTTTTAACACCCATGCTAATACTTCAGTGTATTATTTCGCCTCCGAGATAGGGACGACCTATCTATAAGGGACAAATCTTTGGCCCCATAGTGTCCCTTGTTTCCATTGTATACTGCTTCTACAGATAAGCTACTTCAAACTGAAAGTGCAAGATATAGTCTGTTTCTGGCTACAGTCAATTTTTGCAGCTCGCGCAAGAAAGATGAGAGAAGAAATCGTATCATTAGTGAAGCAAATCCTTCACTGTATAATAATCGTCCGAGACTATAATATATAAGTCTAAGCATCACTTACATGTCTACCGTCCTACAGTAGTCAGGCGCATATAGCAGCACTTGGGTATAAAGTACATATATGCATGGTACATAATACGTGTGCACTTCGGCTTCATCCAAGTGAGGGGGGTTAAATGGTGTAGAGAAGGGCAAAGCCCTGTATTTGTGTGTGCTAGCTATGCTTGGGGTAATGCATAACCTAGCATACCTAGCTACACACACTTTTCTGTGATCCACAGCTGTGGGTTTTCTAAACAACCACATCACCAATGGGGCACCGCTTTTTGCTTTCTACACTTATATACTCTTTCCTCAGAGGGAAAGAGCTACTTCTATTGCTGCCCTGCATAGCAGTAGTGCTATGTATAATAGTAAAGACTGACCTATTTTATGTGGGTCATTAATAGCTATATAAGTTCATCAAAGAATGTGCCGACATGCTATAATTACATTGAGGGCATAAAAAGCATATTTATAGCATACTATGTGGATAGCCATGCATGTTTCTACCCTATACACTCGACATATACACACTAACTTTGGAGGCTGTTGACTCTGCATTCTGGCCTCAATGACAGCATCATTCATTAGCTTTACTGCACTTCCTGCTTCGAGTTGCGCACAGCTCGCCGTATCAGTGGTCCCAGGCAAGGGAAGCTTACTGTCGTATAAACAGAGGTGTAAAAAACTAGTCTCTCATTGTACTCATGTGCTTGTACAGGATAATAGTCAAGCCTTCAAACGTTGACAAACTTACCGCACCATGTTTGTAGCTCGCGCAAGAAAAGAGCACGCGGAAGGACTCTGTTGAAAGCAGCTTACTGCAGCAAAGTACGGACAAAGCCATTGGCAAAGGGCAACGGAAACGCTCGCGTGCCACAATGAGCTCACGTTCAGCACGCCTTCGATTTGCACACGTCCCCTGCCGAGATTATATCAGACACAGCGCTTGACAGTCATTCTGCGCTTTGCTTTTTGCCGAGGGATATGCAAATGACACTGCGTCGGGTGGTGTTTTTTAGCCATCATCAGCCTCTGTAGTGACTGTGAACGTACACCAATCGTGGGCGGTGAGTAGACGCGGGCTACAGAGGAGGTCCTGCACGCGCTCGCACAGCGTTATGAATTCACGAACAAGGAAAGTGAGGGTTTCAATAAATAGTGCCTCTTTGCTATTCCTATTATATACTCAATTTTGCAGGTTGGAATCTTGGATCACACCTATGAGTTTGTATTACCTAAGGTGTGTACCAACGAGAAGGTCTAAGTATGGACGAGCCCTATGATCGCTGACTCAGAAACTCTGAAGAGACATTGTGAGTATAGAAGCTGATTGCACATTCAGAGCTATAATTACCATTGCAAAAAGGTGATTACTGTCGAGCAACAGAGTTGACACAGGATTGTAGAGAAAGTTACACTGATCCAACATGATCCTGACTGGTTAAACGTGGTACTTGGTAAGCTTTCTCTTTGCCAAGTATGAAGTTGAAATCTTTCTCTGCATTAGCTTAATACAGAGTCTCGCATTCTCAAGAGTTCGGCAAACTCTTCTCGGGATCTCATGTTGTGCCTGCCTGGATCCAGGGCTACACTGGAGCGGGCGTGACGGTGGCAGTGGTTGATACTGGTGGGTGACTCCGCACAATTAACCTAACTTTTGTTCCTCGCTTAATTTTAGGTGTGTACCACAACCATACGTGCTTAGCATCAACTATGTAAGCTTTCTCTTATATTTCACAACGTTTTTCTAGCAAAGACTCTGCTAAAAACAGGATGAGTCATTGGCCATCAATATCATGACCGGGGAAGAAGATGCATTTGCTCTGTCGCAGCATGGCACAGCGTGCTGGTGTCATAGCCATGTAAAGATAACAACAAATGTGGAGTGGGCATTGCCTACATTCCACAATAACTGGGTGAAAAATCTGTGCATAGATCGTTTGTGTGAAAGTTATGATTTTTAAAATTTGTAGGGATTAACCTAGGAGACAGTCTACTGATATACAAGAGGCCCGAGCATTGGGCCATAAAGCACAAAGTGATTGATATCTACAGCAATAGTTGGGGACACCAGATCTAGGAAACAACACACAGAGTTAGGGAACTGTACTACCAAAACCTTAGAGAAAGCAATACACGAGGTATTGAGATGCCATTACGTAACAGCTAGTGTTGCCCCTCTAAAATGTGGACATGTGTGTATCTCTAGGGAAGAGATGGAAAGGGATCAATATATGTCTTTGCGCTGGAATGAGGCCGTCATCACGATCCTGTGCTGCCAATGGCTACGTGAACAGTATCTACAACACCATTGGTATAGGGTCTGCCACCACAAAGGTATAGTACAGAATACGAAGAGCTTGCTCTGGGAAGATGGCCGTCTCTTTCATCCATCACACAGAGGAGACAAACTCAATGTGGTGTGTTAATTCATCTTTGTCCATGATTATTGATGATCACGACCCTTTAATCTCTGCACTGCATGTCTACAGGCCACTACTGATATCGATAATCAATGTTAGGCAAATTTCGACAGACCAGTGCCGCCACTCCAACTGTCTCAGCAACTATTGCATTAGCCTGGAGCAAGTAAGTACAGTCACTGCTAATCGTTTTCAAAATGCCATATATTATCGATTACAGTGAAAACCTCACCTGGAGAGATGTGCAGTATTTGATAGTGTATACATCTGACCATGGCAAGCTGAATCACCAGGGACAAGAATGGAGCGGGCCTCACTTTTAGCCACTACTTTGGGTTTGGTGCAGTTGATGCTGAGTGCTGTGGTAACTAGAGCTAGGCACTGGACCACTGTTCCTCCCCAGACATCATTCTCGCTAAGACCTATAAATTCCACATAGTAAGCCTGAGACTATTTGCATTTGCTAAATTTTCCTTCTCTCTCTATTCATCAGCCTTGTTTCAACGGTTCCACTGAAGAATAGATATGTTTTGTCCTAAGAGATAGATGGATGTTACGATAATGTCGGCCTATTGGAACATGTTGTGGTTCGAGTTTCACTGTGGTTCGAGGGAGACAATGCAGCCGATGCCAAAGCGGACAAATCATGATGAACCTGACTTCCCCCCGACAGACTACTCGCCACAATACTCCCTCTCAGAGCCAGAGACGACCAGAACGACACTTACCACAATTGGTCCTTCCTCTCTGTCCACTTCTGGGGAGAGTACCCCACCGGGACATGGACTCTCTCCAGTGGAGTACCAAGGAGAGAATGGCACTTGTGGTGGGCGATCTAACTCTCATCCTCTACGGAATTCAAGCTGGTTCTCTCCGGCCTCGATTCAAGAGTGTGACTCTTCGTGCTACGGTAGCTTGTGCTGACCTGGCCCACGTCTCTGCGACAAATGTCGCCAGTTTCGAATGCGGACACTCTCGAATGCGTCACCAATGCCAGAGAACTATCAAGCCACCCACAACTACTGTATACCACCAGAGAGTCAGGAATTGTGTCCCATATCGTGCATGCTGAAGCGTGACACTCAGACCCACAGAGTGTTCCTGTGACCACAAACAGACTCTGGAGCCATCATGGTATTACTACTGGTGGCATAATAATATTGTACTAGTGGGAGTCACCTTCGTCTCATTATGAATAGTATATTCTGAAATGTATTGTGGATTACGTAGTGATTATAATGTGACTCTAGTTTACTCATTGTGTATGATGGTGTATTTGTACAAGTATTATGTTTCAACTATTAAAAAAAAACTTTTTGCTGCTTTATGATATCATGGCATAAGAGCTGGAACAGATAGCTAATTCTTCGCTGTGTAACACAGAGCTTCATTAATGTTCCCAGTACTTGTGTAAGGGAATGAATAATACCATGTTAATAAGCATTCTCTGTCACTTATAACATGCAATATTCCTTGCATTTTTAGAGACAATCACCATTTGTTAGGAATGAACACACCCAATCAGTGGCATACTCTCTGAAACAGCTAATATGTATTTTAGGGCATATTGACCACAAAGTAATAGTAGAAGATCTAGGAATGTAGGAAACTAGGAGGAAAAGGAAAAGCTGCTTGTACAACATTAGATGGATGTATATACGTGGAACATAATGCACACGAGGGAGTGCCCAGCAGCCTTTCATAGCAATTCCTACAACCATGTACAATTCTAATACCTAGCCATAAACTAAGTATTTTGCAGGAATTGAGGAAACTATTGAAGAGCTATAATGTGTCCACCCACATCGTAACACTTCTCCCCCACAACAAAAATTGTGTATAAATTTGTACAAAGCTACCTATGGGGACGTTCACCTTAAAATTACTACTGCAGTAGTGGTATGAAGGAAGAGATATATAGTATAACTTAATTGGATGCCCAGCCGTATCACTCTGCAGTATCGCGCTATATAGTACTCTACTCTATAATCCAGGAAAGGGACTTTTTGTAATAAGGAAACTCTCTTTGCATTGGAGGAAACCATATAGAAGGAAGTGAGAATTTATGCTCAAGAGGGAGTGCCTACATAGCTAGCAGCCTTTCATAGCAATTCCTACAACCATGCACACTATAAATTCTAATACCTATCCATAATATAAACTAAGTATTTTGCAGGAATTGAGGAATCTAATTGAAGAAAACCTACAATGTGTCCACCGACATCGTAACACTTCTCCTCCACAATAAAAATAGTGTATAAATTTGTACAAAGCTACCCATGGGGACGGTCACCTTAAAATTACTCCTGCAGTATAATTATAGTGGTATGAAGGAAGAGATATATAGTATAACTTAGTTGGATTCCCAGCCGTATCACTCTGCAGTATCACATATAGTATATACTCTACTCTATAATCCTGGAAAGGGACTTTTTGTAATAAGGAAACTCTCTTTGCTTTGGAATGTATATATGGAGGAAACTAGAAGGAAACTGGAGAAATTCAGTCTGAAATTAATTATGCCTCGGCCTGATGTTTCTGAAGGTCTTCTTTGCTGTTGTGTGCATGCTGCTGCTTGCCTAGCGGAATATTTGTATTCTGAAAATCAGGTTGTTTCAGACACTGGGTTCCTTCATTCCAAGAACATTAACACCAACTCAACAGTCTTTCCCCTATTGTGCATATTCAGATGCAGAATAATACCCATTCTTGGTGTTTAATGCAGCAATTCCCAAACTACTCTATGATTTGATGAACCATTTCATGCTTGGCTTGAAAGTCTTCCCCGGGAGGACTTGATGACTGTACAAAAGTTCCATATCTGTCACTACTCACTACACCCTCGCTCAGGTACAAACATACCAAGCATGGAGAAACTCCTAGCCGCTCCATCAGGCTCACTCACTGTGGTGACCTGACTTAAATTGTGTGTGTTCATTCCTAACAAAATGGTGATTGTAACGCTGTCTCCAGACCGTTTAGGCCGGGAAGGATACTGTGCATATAGTACCATGAGAGCACTTATTACGTTAGCCGAAGCAAATAGCCCTGCGCATATTTTTAAATGACGGAAAGACTATATATACACCGAGAGTAAACTATGACGGGACAGTATATACATGATCAGTTATAACTTATTCAAAGTATCATTGTTCTGGGTTCCAGACCATCAGTCATTTCTTGTTGGAGCACTGTGCCTTGCACGAGCAATATTCGCTGCTGCACTTGATGTTGTTTCTGCGACAGTAGCACGATCCTCCGTTCTTGCAGGAACCAGACTCAGGGTCGCATGATTCGCAGTGGTCTTGGCTATCCTTCGGCGCGACTTTCGCGCTTTCCGGCTTGGGAGGCATCTTCCTTTTCTCTTCTGCTGTATGCGAAGCTGTAGACGGCGGATCTCGGGTTGGTCGGAAAAAACGGCCGGTTTTATGGCATTGCATTGCACGCTGCGCCGCCGACGGACGTATTATAAAAGCTGGAAAATTCCCGGTTCATAAACAGCAGTCCCAGTAGATACGTAGTTCCTAGCTACTGCCAATGGATCCCATCATATCTGACGCGGAAAGGGACGATTTGAATGAGGAGGATGATGCCGTTTACCTGGATAAACACCCCGATATAAGCGATGAGTTCAAAAAGACATTTATGGACGCTCGTGAGGTAAATGGCCATAGCTATATATAATCAGTAAAACGTGGTTGCAGCATAGCAAGACTAGAAAATTAGAATACTCACACAGCTACTGCTAGGGCTAGGACTTTCGGTATGCCACTGTATAGCTACTGCCGAGCGCACTCTTCTTGCAAAACCAGTGATATTTTACCCTCCTATGGTTGGCAGGTCTGGTCGGGTCTGGTTGCCGGCGATCACGGCTTCGATTCGTGGCAGATTGAAGCCGGTTCGCGTAGATACTGCTGTGTAGCGACGGATCTACAGGGCATAGCACTCATGATGGGTCTATGGCAGTGAAAGCACCGCGGAGTGACAGTATGCGCTGTTCCAGAGTCGTGGGCGGAAGCAGTAGCCGCGCACCGCTGAAAATGCCTTGTGGCGCGGATCATGGCGTGTGCGATACATATAGCGATAGAGTAGCTAGCTAGCTAGCTAAAGCTAGAGCTTTTCACAATAATCACATAACACCAGACGTTTCAACTGCATTCTGCAGTCCTCATCAGTCAGTGGTGATGTACATAGTGACAGGTTGCAGGTCCATTTTTATGCATGAGAGAGAAAGGAATGAAGGAAATTCCAGCATCACCAGGAAGTATGTAGATGAGTGACAATAAGGAAACAAGGGCAGTCAGGTGACAAAAGAGATAAGGTATAAAAAAAATCTGGTGTTATATGATTATTTTATTTGACTAGAGTATTGTAAAAAGTTCTAGCTTTAGCTAGTCAACTAAGTATAGGTTATACGATGGCGGCGCGTGGTCTACTGGTTGTACACGAGTGGCCAGTTTTGATAGGGTACGAGGGCGTAGCCACGAGTGTGCAATCAGTAGAACACAAGCGAATGCCATCGTATAACGTGTTTGTATGATGACATCCGGCGGTAAGGCTCTGACCAATGAGATTGCGCAAAAGCTTTCAAAAACGCCCTCTCTTTAACGCACACCATCGAGTGTACGTGCGGCCGTGGGGACGGGGCCGGGGAGAGAGCTAGCTAGCAATCGATCGGAAGAGAGACAGCTGCAATAAGCGCTTTAGTTTAGTCAAGCTGGGCGGTTGTGCAGAAGCCATGGCCATTCCTCGAGAGATCAACGTTACAGGTATATACGTACTTTTCGCTGCTAGACTCCACACGAGTTTTGTAGCTGCCGCTAGGGGCTCTCCCGCTATACCCAGCATTCTCGAATGCAGCCTGTTGCAGTAGCAAGAAAGCTGAAAGTCACATACTGTTCCAGTCTACGGGAGCCTACGCGTCGGAAAGCAGCTTTCGCTAGTTTTCAGACCGCGTATATTATACTAGAGCAGTTTCTAGCTTGAAAACACTCCCTTCTGGTAAAGAAACAGCAGCATACAAAGAGTGTAAAGCCCCTAATTGCATTCCACGCTGCCAATTTCCTACTATCGTCTAACTCCCGTAGACCCACTGTGGTTTATGCAAATAAGTTGACATACAGCTAAAGTATGGGGAAATTGTATGGCCTCTTTATGTTCTAACGACCCCGTAGACTGAGCAGGAAGCGCTCACTACGTTGTTTGGACTAGCTGGAATTCCTTTGATCTTACTCTCAGTCATCATACAAGAATATTTAATAGCTAGCTAGATATATACCACAAAATTAATTTTGGTGGAGGGAGCGCAGAATGATACGTATAAATAATGGCGGGATTATTTTGCCCATGAACCTCGGTGACAACTGCGCCCACATGACTAGATGCTGTACCTCACATTTTTGTAACCACAGCTGCATAAATGTTCACCTCTCCATTATGATAGGCCATTGAAAATGGAGACATGCCAAAGCTCAAGGCTGCAGTCCAAGCTATGCAGGACGAGGGTAGTGTGCCAAGGGAAAGATGTCTGAACGTGGTGATCAATGTGCCGGGTCCAAAGAGAGATCCAAAGAAGCTTCTGCCAATGACTCTGCTGGCCTTCGCTGGATACCATAAACGACAGGAAATGATTCATTTCCTCATTCAGAACCATGCCCGTATGTTTGCCTTACATTGTATGAATAGGGTGTGGTCATTAACAAAGCCTACCATACCTACCAACCTGCATTTGCTGTGTGCCCTTTAAAATGTATGGGCAAGATGCATCCCCTGTCCAAGGTGCTCACGGATTATCAAGCAAAAAAACCTGTACGGTCCGTAGGTATATGCTACCCACATAAACCACTCTATACTGTTCCTTAGGGGCAGATGAAGGGGTTTGAATAAACATTAATTCCTCTCCAACTTTTCTCCTGTGCCACAGTGGTTATACGTATGCAAGACCTGCCACTCTTGCTATCCGCGGCACTCTCATGCGCATTGCGGCATAGGATTGTACTATTTTTTTCTTGTGCATTCAATCTGTGAATCGTCTGAGTACCAGCACCCAATTATCCAGTTTTCCTAACAGATTGCTATTTCCTCCACCCAGATCTACTTCGTGGTGCACACACTAAGAAAAAATGTGCTTTTGCATGCACATTTTGTAAAAAACCTCCCTTCAAAATATTCTGAATCCACCCCTATCCCTTACAATATTTGATGAACCCCTTAACTGACACGCTTTTCTGGTTTTGCAGAGCTCGACGTGAAAAACCAGTTTATTGGTACTCCTCTGCTGCAAATGTTGTGCTACGCTCGAATTCGGGATAACCCCCAACATATCGACAAGGAAATTGTCAGGTTTTTTGTTGACCACAAAGATGTGGTCCTGACTCGTGTTTTGACGGCCGGTTACATCAGAACATCGACAGTTCTCGACACTTGCATCTTCCTCGGCCGCTTAGACATCGTCAAAAAAATGCTGATTCCCAATGGGATCGACCCAATTAAAGGTGGCTACCCAGGAATGAGGCCATTATTCGTGGAATACGTCCATTACCCATCCAACGAGTTCCTGAAATGGCTGTTTAAGGAGTTGGTGACCGGGGTTAGCGTTCCACAGTTTATCAAGCAAATTTTCCCCGTGAAGCGTGGAACAACACACACGGCGAGGAAGATCTACGGGAAGAACCCCCTCCATGCCTTCCTGCTGTGTGGGAGTGGGGAGGTGGTGGATGCTCTGCTCGGTCTCCAGCCACGTATCCTGGAGGAAGTGGATCCATTTGGAAAAACTGCTCTTCATATTGCTGCAGAAAAGGGGGACATAGAAAGTTTAAAGATCCTATTGGACAAGTGAGTTGTGGCATTAATGTAAATGAGACACACCCATCAATAACAGCTTTCTAATAACATTCACTGTGTGCTTCCAAAATAGGTATATAGAATATGCCTAGGTTACATAACATTGTCTTTCTGGCTTTATGTGTCCACTTTCCATGCAAGGTAAACAATGCAGTGTTGAATAGTACACATTGCATTTTTGATTTTTGGCAAACGTCTAGCTCCTCCCTTCGGTAGCAATTGTAAATCTCACTGTAAATGATCCCTAGTCCCATAACACCACAAGTCAATCCACTTACAGTGAAAGACACATCTATATATAATATTATTACAATGCATGGTTATGGTTCACACCTTGAGGTTAAATTTACGGAGACATTTCCAAGTGATGATTGGGTGAAATGTGTAAATGACGCTTTGCTATCTTTCTTTGCAGAGGTTCAGATTTGGATGCTGTTGATGAATTTTTAATGACACCACTCAAGTTGGCTACGAAAAATGAACACACTAAGGTAAGCCACATTATGATTATGCACTGGTTGGTTCAATCATTATCAAAACAATGATTACACAGGCAGTTGAAATACTAATGGGAAAAATGGAGAGAGCAAGCGGTTCTACCGGAGCTGCCACTGACTCTGACTCGCTGGGCTCCATGGTGATGTGGGCCTGGGCACTGCAGAATAGCTACGCCACATACTTTGAGGTAAGCAGGCCTAGCCCTCTGGCACAAGAGTGGTGTTATTGTAATAAGTTCAACTGCCCGTGTAATTGTTGTATTAATTTTTAAGGCAATACACAAAGAGAGGGAGAGAGAGAAACTTCTGCTCAGGAAACTGGACAATGACGGAAACAACATTGCACATTTGGCAGCAGAGAGTGGAAATACCATTATCTTTAAGGTGTGTAGCTACCAACTTATGCCTCCATATCCCACACTGATGGATGAACTCAACCCTTGTTCATACTCCCCTTCCTCACTGCACACAATGTCTAAATGAATGAATACGGTGGTGCTCAGAGCAAGTATACAACAGTAAAATAGGGCTAGCTACCTTGCAAGTAATTATCCAGCACGCATGCACGCAAGGGGCACTAACAGGGTTGCAACCCCCTGTTTCGTAAAGCAAGGACGTACGTCGTATAATGCGTATTATACGCTAACCGTGCCCCCTCTCTGAGGCCCTACCTGCGCATGTGCAAGTATTTTATATTTACAAACCCCAGTTATCATAATAATTATGCTGGATCCACCTCTGACTAATATCACCAGATCTTGGTATAGGTGCCTGAATGAGTTTGTAAGGTTGCTAAGTATTAACTATTATTAAAAACTGGCGTCACTGTGCCACCTACTGCATTATCTGCGAATGTGCCTAAACAATACTCAATACCGTGCGGGGTATGTGCTCTCCAGAGCTCTATTATTCAGTTTTTCTTACCCCTGTAGTCTGTTATTCCTAAGATTCAAGAGCCGAAAGTGTATCAAATTCTTCTAGAACAAAATGATAAAGGATTGACACCTCTTCAAGTGGCCATTATGAATGGGAATGTGCGGTAGGTTCACTTCACTCACATTCACAGGTCCTTATCCCTCCGCGTTGTATAAATAAAAGCATCTTGCAGGCCTTGCAGGAGCAAAGGGCCGAGAGAAAGAAGGTAGCAGACAAAGGATACTCCATCGAGAGACAGGGTGACTCAGTGGAAGAGAAAGACCTGAATGAGCTGAAAAGGGAAAATCTCAAGTTGATGCTCTTTGCCTGTGAGCATGGAACTGTGGATGTTGTCAAGTACTTCGTGACTGAATTGGTCCCTCCAAACAAAGGGTGGGTTATTATTATTTCTGTCATGGGAAGCTTATGGGATTAACTATATCCTCCACAGCATGAAAAGAGAAGAAGACAAGACACCACTCTATTATGCTGCAAAGGCAGGAAAGCATGAAATTGTGGCATACCTGCTCAGCATTAATGAAGTTTCTCCAGACAGTGAAACGGTATAATATGCTTCTGTTGTAAAACTCAAAGTATCATACGATAGCTTTCCCACCAACACCATCCCAGATGAATGGTATCCAGAGCCTGTACGTGTCATGGCAGTCATGTCTAGTGCTGAGTAGCCTCAAACCCACTTTGGTCTTGATCGATGCCTCTCAGTTGCCCGGTACAATGATCCTGTACATTTATTATGGGTGCTCAAGACTGGTCTCTAAAGGACTTGGCTGTGCCTAGTGCTTTCATCTCCACCACGCTTTTCGTACAGTACCTTCTGTGATCCCCATTAGGTGTATATATGCCTCTGAAAAATTAATGTCCCCAGTGTCCCATCTTAGGAGGCTTCACTCAAAAGGTGGTTGAAAACGCTTCTGTGAATCACGCAAAGATTCCAATGAATGGGTGAAAGACTCCTGGGTGTTATGCCGCCAAGTGCCAATGTCTAAAGTAAATTTGTTAGGTTGTTGAAGAATGTGTACTTGGAATCTTGCAAAGTTGGAGAAAGGGTTGAAAAACATTCAGTCTGAAAAAAGGCTTAGTCCAGACCAGACTAAGCCTTTCTACAACATCGCAAGATTAAAAGTTATAAACTCGTGCACTGAGTGGCAAAAAGTGTCTAGCACTTGAACCCATAACTTGCTGGGTAGCTAACCAGGGATAGACGTGTGTTTCCCGGCATTTCAGGTTTTTCTGACTCAGGTTGAACCTACCTACCACACCATCCCGAGACTTGTATTAAACTTAATAGCAAGAACGTTTGACCAGCTTACAGTCTTTCTTCCACCACACCTGTTTTCTGCCATTATTGTTAAACTAGAGAGGCTGAGACTCTCTCCTGACATTCCTGCAGGATTCCTTGCCTCCCATACTGGTGGCATCAGAGAACGGCCATTCCAAGTGCATCATTCACCTGATTGAGAAGAACGCAAATTTGACTGTGAGGTCAGAGTGTGGCTACAATTACCTTATGGAAGCCATCAGAGGTGGACATGAGTAAGTATTAGATTCCCTCGTTGCCACATTGGATAGCTAAAACCCTCGGGCCTGTGGCCCTCAGGCATTACATCACAACTGTGTTAACATATACCCCATGTAAAAGAATGTGAGAGGATTTGACTGTTACTTGGCACCCTTCCTTATTAGAGCAGCAGAGCTGCCTGGGCTTCCCTCTTGGCACAAGGCTGTTTCACCTTTACACATTAAGTAATGTTTTTCCCTGCGTTTCCCTCGTTGCCACATTGGATAGCTAAAACCCTCGGGCCTGTGGCCCTCAGGCATTACATCACAACTGTGTTAACATACCCCATGTAAAAGAATGTGAGAGGATTTGACTGTTATTTGGCACCCTTCCTTATTAGAGCAGCAGAGCTGCCTGGGCTTCCCTCTTGGCACAAGGCTGTTTCACTTTTACACATTAAGTAATGTTGTTTCCTGGGCTTCTCTCATTGCCACATTGGATAGCTAAAACCCTCTGGCCTGCAGCCCTCAGGCATTACATCACAACTGTGCTAACATACCCCATTTAAAAGAATGTGAGAGGATTCTTGCGTCCTGAAAAACTGGCACAAAATTGGAGAGATTAGCATTACTAGAGCCGACACTCTAGTGCTAGTTTCCCGTACTTTTGACCTTAGTCTGCCTCTTTTACTGTTTCATTGCATTATATAACCACAAACGGAATGTGTTGAACATGAAAAGTGCTCATTTCGTGTGTTGTATAATATCTGTTCTTTTATCAGGGATGCTGCCAAAGCCATTATACTCCATCTGCAATCAGAAGAGAACGGTGATAAGTGGGAAGCTACAATGAAAGTGTGTGACAGTGAAACCAAGACACACACTCCAATGAGACTGCTAATTCAAGCCATGCCAGGTGACTATATATAGCTAAAAACAGCCCTGCTTTATATACTAGTTGTATCCTGGGCCTGAGGGCCACATGGTGTGGCCCTCGGGTACTACGTCACATCTGTACTAACATAATCCCATGTAGTCGCTAGGGAAAGGCCGGGCAACAACTTGCTACATAGCCACTTGCTAGTTGGCCTATCTGCATCCAAGGAGCTTTGTGCGTATTTTGACTTTGGCGGCAGTTCCAGGACAGTGGGAGTGGCATCCTGACTGCTGTGCCTGCACATAGCTCCTCCCCTCAGCATGCTTGGGTGAGCGGAGGGTGGTCCCACTCCCTCCTGCCCAGAGTACAATCACAGGGACTAAACCCTGGAAGTAATGGAGCTGCTGCAAGAACTGATGTGATTACTTGATCAGTCAGGAAGTGTGCCACATAATGATAGTGGCACACTTTTCATTGTTCCATTTGTTTTGATGTTCCAGACGTTGCAAAGCTGGCTATGAAAAGATGTGTTCATGAAAAGGAGGTGGATCCTCCTCAGGGTCCTGCTCGTCTTGAAGACGGCCAGCAGAAGTGCTGTGAGTATGATTTTTCCCTCATTGACGACTACACCGAGAAGGATGCTAAATCACCATGGAGACCTACGCAATACTCTTCTTCCTCACATCCCCTGGCATACCTGGTAAGATCTTGGCACATGCACAAGATGTTTATTAGAGAGAGTCGGTAGACTCTCTATATAGGGATGACACGGGTGAAATCTCATGTGATCCGCGTACAAAACGACTAAAAACTCGGTGAGAATCACTCTCTAGGCCTTTAAAAACATACTAGCAATAGTCTACGGGCCCATATCTACCTATACATGTCCCCCAAGAGCTCATACGTATATACCTTCAGTCGTCCACGCGAGAATTCGCTCATACGCGATTTCACGATTTTCGTGTCATCATATTCTTCATCTTCTTCTTCTTCTTCTTTAAACCCGCTATCTCCTTACCAGTACCAGTTCAAGCACAGATTTTTTCACTGAAGGTCTCCAATTTCGCCGGAGGTGTGCACGGACATCAAGCGATCGTTTCTTTCTTGCCGCTAGTCACTAAGGTAGATCATGGAGCTCTTCCATGGTCGACCTGAACAACGCCATTTGCTGCTTACTCAGCATCAGTGATCCGCGCGCATGCGCCAGGTAGGGGCGTTGTCCAATGTGCTTGCGAGGTTGCCAGACCTGCAGAGGAACTGTCAGCCTCCAGTACCTTCTGTAAGTAAGTGTGCACATTTCCAACTGGCTATCTTGCTGTTGATTTGCACGAAGAGCAACTTGCCAGAGTCAGCGCGGTGTTACGCGAGCCTTGCGGGGGCACTCAGTCAAATGGGCCTTCATTGTTTGTCCCCCCAGGTTGTAGCCTGATTACCAAAGCCTGCCAATGAAACCACAACCATGTGCAATAATCTAATTACATCCTTGTTGAAGACAATACATGAGGTGAATGCGGTATCTAGCAGCCCCATTAGCTACTACTTTCAACAGTTACTATGGTAGCCTATCTACAAATGAACATCAGAGTGACTGTAACAATAAATGCAGTGTTGCCATAAGCTGTTAAAAATAGTGGAAACAAGTGTAAAAATCATTTCTTTAAAATGAAAGGGGGATATAGGGATGGCTTGAAGCACCAAAAAGGAAGAAACAAGGGGTCATTACACAGCAAAGTTGCACAAAGTTACATGACACCATCCCTATATCTTTGTTTGATTGTTATAAGCAAAGTTTAATATCAAACAATATCAAACAAAGATATAGGGATGGTGTCATGTAGCTTTGTGCAACTTTGCTGTGTAATGACCCCTTGTTTCTTCCTTTTTGGTGCTTCAAGCCATCCCTATATCCCCCTTTCATTTTGAAGAAATGCTTTTTACACTTGTAACATTGTTTGTGAGTTTTATGATTGGGCAAATCGGCACATGCACAAGCACTTAGCACGTGCACAACACAGTGTATAACATTGTCGCTTGCTATTAACTGAGCTAATATTATTGTGTCATTTGCACATTAACACGTCAATCAGGGTAGACTTTATGCCATCCACATAATTGTTGTACAGGTAAAGAAGGAGCGACTAGAGCTGCTCCAACATCCACTGATGGCGCTCTACATTGCCCGGAAGTGGTGGAAATGGCCATTTCGTTTCTTTTGTTCATACATACTCATTTATACCCTGTTCCTTGTCATCCTGACCAGTTTTGCCCTCCGTGTTCCTCGACCTAGCCCAGGGGATGAATTCTGTGAGCAAACTCTAGTTTAATACATTGCTTACAGTGACATTTCCATGTGTTCACGTATTTTACAGGTCCAAGCAACAGCTCAAAAGCTTCTTACACTCAGCTTGATTTAAATGGTACATAGCTACGTTTGTTGAATTAATCTATAGAGATTATTCTGCTCCATCCCCACAGATGGAGACTGCAATGGTAAAGTGAAACTTCTACAGTCTATCTAAGCTGAAATTTTGCTGCATGTGAAACGTGTTTGTGCAGGTCCGAGTGGTTCTAACAGAGCTGCATTTCCAACTCTGGCTGTCATACTGATCCTGCTATCCGTTGGATTCCTGTGTTTCGAAGTCTTCTTCAGATACATCATGAGAGAATACTGGAACACGTTCTACTATTGGTTTGAACTAGTTGTTAGGGTCGGAGTTTTTCTTCTTACTGTCATCTTTGTGTCTGGATTTGGCCACGACTGTTGGTGCACTCCACCATGGCAATGGCAGATCGGAGCCCTGGCCGTGTTCTTGACCTACTTCAATGCAGTTCTCCTGCTAAAGGGTCTCCCGTTTTTGGGGGTGTACATCAGCATGCTTCTGAAAATCATTGCCACCTTTCTATTCCTGATCTATCTCCCGATACTGCTCATCTTGGCCTTTGCCTTTCCTTTCTACATGCTGTTTGTGCGAGATTCTGCTGCAGTACTGGTATGTGCAGAATACTGACATAAACCTCCTTAACTCTGTTGCTTTAGTCTTTGGTGTCAGTTCAACTGCCTATCTTCCCCATAGGGTGATGCAGGAATTCTGGTAGGCTTTTCCACTCCTGCACACTCTCTTGCCAAGACAATCATGCAGACGGCAGGGGAGCTGGATTTCGAGGCTCTGTTCAACGAAGGGGACCTCCTCTACTCCCCCATGGCCTACATCCTCTTCATCTCCTTTGTTGTCTTAATGCCCATTCTATTCAACAACATGTTGGTAAGCCAGTCTGCTTCGTGTGATATATGTACCATAGACTTTGCTTGCCTACGATTAGACCGGTTTAGCTGTCGGAACCGCAGATGAAGACAAGAAAAATGCGGAATTCACAAACATTCATGTTCAGGCAAGACTCATCTTCAACATCTACACGGAGATATAATACTAACATGGGAACTGCATACTCTCTTTCAGGTCCAGTACATTTTGGGTCTGGAGAATTTCAGGCTGATCCGTGGTCATCTCACCAGTGAGAAGTGTCTAGAGAATGTTAGCTGGCTGCGCAGAGAATGGGACTGGCTTCGGGGAATTGATTATGAGTCACAGAAAGCCAAGTTGGAGGAACTGGACAAAGACACTGACGAAAAGAGCAGGGTGGGTGAAAGTCTTTGATAATGTCTTCCGTGTTATATAGAGAGGTGGTGTCTTTATATATACAGGAGAAAGTGACAAAGATGGTGTCGGTGGTGAGCAATATTCAAGAGAGGATTCCCGCTCTAGAGAGGAGCCACAGGGAGATGCAGCAGAGTCTGGAGCACATCATGAAAACTCTGCAGGAACTCAATGGAAAAATTGACTGAGAAATAGCTAGCTACTTAAATACTTTTCGGCCATTGTTTTGTTACTCCAAAGTCGTAGGTGTAGCTAGCTCTAACTGTCGTGTCCATGTTGTAGGTCAAGAAATAATATGTTAATTCTAGAGACCAAAGGCTGGAGTTAACAGCATACGGTACAGCTTACTGCAAGTAGGATGACAATTGGGATTACAACCAGATCACAGTTCTTCTGGCGTATTATTATCCACACGGTGCTGTAACTAATAGAACCTTCAACCCATGTTCGTATAACAGCATCAGGCAGAATTTATGCTCTGTTCTCCACAATGAAACTTGATTCACCTAAATTGTTTTTCAAACAAGAAACAGCCCATAACTTGCCAATGATGTTGGCAAACTTTAAATATTCCATCCTGTCAGTTCCATGCTCATGTGCTCTAGGACCTAGAATAAAATGGTTGGGAGTTGAACCCACTCTGCCCTGATCTACACCTCCTATGAGAGATAAAACCTTGTCATCACCATTTCTTTGACAACCAGTTGTTGCAATTTATACTAGCAGCCACCAATGCAGCTCTGGTGCGTTAAGGCCTGTCCGCGAGCAGCAAACCGTAACCACGCCCCCGCAGTAACGTTTCACGGAAAATATACGGAATCACGCTATGTACGAACGTCATTTCACGAATCTGCGCATGCGCGGCACGGGGACGCGTAGTATGTTTTTCACAACTATTTTTCGCTTAGGCGGAAGGGTTCCGCTTGGTCTATAGCTACTTTTTTACGTTAAGAAAGACAAACGCAAAGTCCTCTGACTGTTTATCCAACGGGCAAGGTGAGCAACTTGACAGTTTTAGATGCAGGGCCAGTTTTTATGGTAAAACTGGGCGCGGTTTCGATATTTTAGTTCGTCATCGACACGTTATTAGCTTTTTTCATTTCCCCGTTGGATAAAGATTTACTTTAGTATGTACTTGTTTCTCTGAGCTCAAGATGAATTCTTAATTCGAAGTGTAAGCAATCCGCCTAAACGCATATACGAATTACATGTAAACAAACAAACAAATAATGTGGGCGTGGTCACAATTTGTTAAGGGAGTTAAGACCTATGAGTTTTATCACTGTACCAAGTTTGAAAGTAAAAGGTAATGTTACACTCTCAAAATAAACAAAAATAAAAAATTGTGCATGATTTTGATGCACCCAGGACTTAATGCACTAGAGAGGTTGATGGTGATGGTAAAATGCTTCTACATATTGAAAAAACAAACAAACAAAGTATCGTTCAAGCTTAAAGGATTGAGTTGTATTAACAGACTGGTTGGCATACCAACTGAAAGATAACGGTGGTTTTGAGAATCTCTCAGGATCAGTTTGACGATTGAACTAGTTCCCACACACACCTCCACACTGCTACCAGTGATGAAGAGCGAGAGCTTAGTCTCAAGAGGAGAGGGAGCTGTGTGTATGATTATAATGGTTGAAGTTGTGTTGTTATGGACCGTATAACAATAACATACCCATGCACTGCCTCTAATAGGCCGAGATTTAGGAGCTCACAATAATACCCAAAGTCTGTAGGATCAGTGAACAATACTTCATCGTTTGTTACAAGGGGAGAGTAGGTGAGCACAAAGTCACGTTTTCTGTGCCTGTCTCTAATAAGTAAGTGAACAGGGTAGCTACTCGGTGTCAGGGTGGCGCTTTGCCCAGCAGGATGCACTAGGAATTTTCCCAGAGCCATTTTTTTTCGAAAAATGCATTTACAGTACGTGTATAATGTTTCACAAAACAGCTGCAAACTAATGCTTGCATCTAGCTATACCTTCCTCCAGCACCAGAGTGAGAAGGTGTTGTTGAAGCATTACAGTTGACACCACCAGGGGTACAGGTGCAGTATCCATCGTCACGACACTCCCGGGTGCTTAATGAGTAATTGAAGTCCACGTCACCACACGGAGGGAATTCCTCTCAGTGACACCTTAAAGTGGAACTGAATAACTCTCAATCTTAATAAGCTTGCCCACTCCTGTGGCAGAGAATTGGATTGCCAACAAACGGACAGCGTTGGACAGGTCCAGTGGGGATGCATTATGTCAACTGGGTTTAAATGACAGATGGCATCCCGGTCCTTCACAAGGTCTCCAAACACAACCGGACGATTACTAACGTTTCTGGTTTCACAAAATCTACCAAAGGTGGAACAACTCTTCACTTGGCAGGCCGCAGCTGGTCTGGATCTCCCGATGCCAGTCCCAGTAGGAGAGGCGGAACTTATAGTAGTCCTATCGCCCCATGGCCTGCACCATTGCTTGGACCTCACTCTCCAGGAACAAGTGAAACCACCAATGCCAGGTGAAGAATGCCAGGCCGTGATGTATTGTGGATTACATAGTGTGACTCCAGCCTACTCCTTGTGTGTGATGGTGCCTTTGTACAAGCATTATGTTTCAAGCATAATTTGGTGCTTCATGATTTCATGGCATAAGTGCTGGAACAGATAATTCCCCAGTAGGGAGTGCATAATACCATGATAACTGCCGCACACAGCACTTAGATTGCAATCATTTTTTTAGTGAAAAGCACTAGAGTGCAAACCCACGGCGAACTGCGCATGCGCGGTACCACTAATTGTAGGCTTGGCTTTTTATGTGGTATCCCGCTTGTAGCTCGTGCAGAGTCTGGCACGGGCTAGCTACGGTAGTAGATAGCATGCGAGAGTCGATACATACCCTTCGCTGCGACTTCTTGTGCCTGCAAGATACACAGAGCGAGCGGACGCTGTCGCAGTAAGCCTGTGCTAATTTGCATATTGGCTTGTTCACTTGGTTTTCACGTCATAACTTTTGAACGCAGTGTTATTACGAAAATCGCCTAGTGCGGGAACGGACACACCGACCAAGTACTGTAACCCTCGCTGCGCATGCGCGCCGAGGGTTACAATAGCTCTCGGCGCGGCGCGGACGCGTCCCATGCGCCGTACCACTAATTGATGGGCTGGGTTTAGGTTTAGCTGTTACTCGTGGTCTCATGCCAGCTCGCGCAGAGTCTGACGCGGGCGAACTATACACTACTAGATAGCATGCGAGGCGCGTTGCGTCTTCTGGTGCCTCCGAGGTACGCAGAGCACGCGGATCGTGGTAAGCCATCCGGCCGTCCGTTGCGTATTGCACATTGACTTTTTCGCGCTCTAGCTTTGCAACGGAGCAGTTTCAGAGAAAACCGTTCGACTTTCTGACCTTCGTTGCCCGTTAAGTAGTTTGTATCCTTTGTGAGACGAACAAACACCCGTGAAGTGAGATGTAGAGTAACACACAGACAAACAAACAGACCCAACTACCGTACCATCGCTGCGCATGCGCTCCGAGGGTAATGACACTCACCATTTGTTAGGAATGAACACACCCAATCAGTGGCAAACTCTCTGAAACAGCTAATATGTATTTTAGGGCATATTGACCACAAAGTAATAGTAGAAGATCTAGGAATGTAGGAAACTATATAGGATAAGCTGCTTGTACAACATTAGATGGATGTATATAGCTACATGCAACAAAAAATTCACATGAGGGAATGCCCAGCAGCCTTTCAGAGCAATTCCTACAATCATGCACACTATTACAACGTCTAGTACCTATCCATAAACTGAGTAATTTGCAGGAATTGAGGAAACTACTGAGGAGAACCTATAACAAGTGGACCAGTCAGTGATCCAAAGTCGAAACACTCACTCACTCACTCACATTCCTAAATGGCAGTCAAATCGTCGGCGAATTGCGCATGCGTGGTATACCGCTAATTGATGGGCTGGGCTGCGTTTACTCATGGTCTCCCGCTATATAGTAGCTCGCGGAGAGTCTGACACGGGGTAGCTACAGTAGTAAATAGCATGCGGAAGTCGATACACGCCCTTCGTTGTGGCTTCTTGTGCCTTCAGGATACTTACACAGAGCGAGCGGACTCGGTAAACCTGTGCTAATTAGCAATTGGCTTGTTGACTTGGTTTTCACGCCATAAACTTTAGACTTTTTACGAAAATCGCCATTTTGTCCACCCCCAGTGGTGAACTCTCTGAAACAGTTTAGGGCATATTGACCACAAAGTATTAGTAGAATATCTAGGAATGTAGGAAACTAGGAGGAAAAGGAAAAGCTGCTTGTACAAGATTAACACATTAGATGGATGTATATAGCTGCATGGAACGAATTGATGCACATGAGGGAATGCCCAGCAGCCAATTCCTACAACCATGCACACTATAACAACGTCTAGTACCTAGCCATAAACTGAGTAATTTGCAGAAATTGAGGAAACTATTGAGGAGAACCTATAATGTATCCACCCCCAGTGGCGAACTCAGTTTAGGGCATATTGACCACAAAGTATATATTAGTAGAATATCTACGAATGTAGGAAACTAGGAGCAAAAGGAAAAGCTGCTTGTACAAGATTAACATATTAGATGGATGCACATGGAACATAAATTTTAATTGATGGCATGAGGGAGTGCCCAGCCATAAACTGAGTATAATTATAGTTTGAAGGAATTGAGGAAACTATTGAGGAGAACCTACAATGTATCCATCCTCATCTTAATGCTTCTCCTCCACAATTAACATGTGTATAATTGTTTGCATAAAGCTATGTAGTAACAAGTAGCTACATAAAAATTCTTCGAAATAAAAATATGTGGAATATATGGATGTCATAAAAAGCAAGGAGAGAAGACAGGGATGACCTAGTGCATGATTGTGATGCAGGATGATGGTGGTTACATCTTCAAACTGACATTGCTTGCTCATGTAAATGTTACTCCACACAAGCCCTATTGTATGATGTGCAGCTATGACTCGTTTCCTATGCACGTAAGACTGGTAGCTAATACCCTCTCGGTCCTCAGTTTTGAATCGTGACTGTATTTACTTCCATGTTCCTTCAACTAATGCTGCTTTCTATACAGAATCTCTTTGCCAGTCTTCACACTACATCATTCACCATGTCATGAGTAAGAGTGGCGACAATAAAGGGCTTGTGTGTGGAGTTATTATTACACGAGCAAGAAATGTCAGTTTGAAGATGTAACCATCACCATTCATCGTACTATATACTGCATCACATGCACTAGGTCATCCCTCTTGTCTCCTTGCTTTTTAT